ACTTATAAAGTTGATCAATGAACATAAATTGGTCTTACGGGTCTCACGAAAAACCTTTGGTTTCACGTGAACCCAACCCTATATATATATATATATATATATATATATATATTTTTTTTTTTAACTTTTACCATAAATGTGTGTGTATATCATATGCAAATTGTTGTTAAACAATCCGCAAAAAGAAGATATGATTTAGTTTTAAATCATGTTGGATTAAATATTATTTAGCACTAATTGCTTAAATAATTTTACGTTTCTGCATGTTTTTACGAATTATTCTCAAATACTATGTATATGTTCCAATTTTTTTTTAACTCACGATTAATTTCTTATTATACGAGAGATAAGTTGAGCAATCATGATGTCATGGTACTCATTGAAAAAAAGGACGTGACAACTGAGGCCACTTGAAGTTGTCGTGTTTTTCATCACGTGTCTCGCGCTCTCACCTATCCATATATGACTCAACCAACTGCTAACTATGCTTAGCGTCGTTGAGGTTATGATAGTTGCATTATCGTAGTGTTTGTAACATTGCATGTAATTGAGGTTAGTCATTAGTGATAAGATTGGTTACGGGAAAAAAACTACAATTTGGTTACGGAACCTACAATTAGGGCATGAAATTCATGGTAATAACAACTTTAACAATGAGAAAATAGAAGTATCATCTATTAACGCAACAAACATTTATTACTAGCAACAGAAACCAACAAATCCCTCTCGAAGTCATCAGAGAACCCTTGTTCAAACATCGTTGACCGTATGGTCCATGAGGATCGAGTTGCAAGGTACACTGATATGCCAGTTCCTCACCATTTCACATTCTTGTTAACCATTATAAAAAAAAAAGCTGTTTTCAACTTCTCTCAATTGGTGACAAAATTAAAATAATTTAAAAGCTCTTATAATATTTTTATTGTAAAATAACTATCGCCAATATAGCTGTTAACATGGAAGTGTAGTCAATGGAATATCTACTGTTAACCATAAGGGTGGTGCTTGATTGGTTTGAGTTTGACTCCAAAGGTCAAAAGTACCAGGAGGTCCCAGGTTCAATCCAAGGAAGAATAAAAATCCCCTTGTGGCCACGAAGGTTCAAATGCGGTGACTCCGGGCTATTTGCAAAACAGGTGGTCGTCCTAAGATTAGTCGGCTCACATAGCGGGTTGGATATCCAGGTTAATAAAAAAAGATTGAATGATCTAGTTATGATAGGTATGGAAATAAATGTTTGCTAACAACATCATGTGATCAGTTATGGAAAATCCAGTTATTCCTCCTACCATTAAATACGATGACATCGTTTTCTGTTATACCCAAACTACATACATTGAAAACACAATTTTCCGTTCAAAAGAAGTTCTGGGACCAATTTGGATGGTTGCGATATGTTTAGACTCGTAGGTTTTCAGAGTTGTACGATATAGGAACATGGTTCTTGATCATCTATGCGCCTAAGGAATGGTTATCGAGAGTCTAGGTGGTTAACACCAAAACGCATACAATATATGTAGTAGGACAAAAGTTTTCGATGATGCTATAACCATTTACAATAAAACAACGGATTTGTTGGAAGATATACAAGAAAACACATATGAAAGTTACTGAAAGAATTCAAAGTCAAAGATTTATGGAAAAGACAAATAAATAAATTCTTGAAAACCAATAAATGATTCTCATACAACTAATGTAAAACCCGTAATTCTGTTGTTACTATTAGAATATAAACGATCGGAAAACGATCTAGAAACGGTCGTAAAACAGTCAAGGAATTGTCGGAACGCGAAGCATCAAGACAGAGGCACAAACGACTTGGCCCATGGCTTCAAGTTGTGAGAAGCCTCTTTGCGTTTTTAAGCCCGATTTTGCTGGGATTTTGACCATTTATTCCACATCCTTCTTCCTTCAATCATTTTGGGAAATTTTTAAGCTAAAAATGGTTTTGGAGCCCCTTTAAGGTGAGGATTTGGTGTTTGGTAAGTTTTTTTTTTAGAAGATTAGAGGGTTGGATCTCACCTTCACCTATCCTCCTTCAACCTCCTTGTGTTAGGTATGATTTTTTTTTATTAACATGGATATTCAATCCGCTATGCGAGTCGACTAATCCCAGGGCTACCACTTGCTCTGCAGATAGCCCGGAGTCACCGCATTTGAACCTCCGTTATTCCTCCTTGGATTTGAACCTGGGACCTCCTGGTACTTTTGACCTTTGGAGCCAAGCTCAAACCAATCAGACACCACCCTTGTGGTTTGTGTTAGGTATGATTTTGAGTTACATTATGGGGATTTTGGATGTTCTTTCAGATCAAAAGAAACCTCGTACTCAGTGGGTTGATTCTCTATTTTAGAGTTTCGGTTTGGAGACCTCAAGTTTTGGAAAAGGTAAGTTCTTTGAATCTTTTAAGCTGTATTTTGTGGATCTTTATGGATCTAAAGCTTATGCAAGTATTTCGTTTATTTCTAGCTTTGGAATGTGGTTGAGATGGTTTCTGGAGGGAGTTGCTTGTGGATCTCAAGATTTCTTGGGAAACTAGAGCTTGGGTTTTGGAATCTAGGTTTAACCTAACCTAACAAGTTGAGTTTCAAGTTAATTTGTGAAAATGTTGTACTTTATGTCAAATGCGTCCTCTTTTCAGTGTCTATTTGCTTTTGTGGAGTTTTACATACCTAATGAGTTGTTTGACTAATCGTTTTGAGCATTTGGGTCTATGTTTGGAAAACACATACCATTTGATCTACTTAACTCCCTTAAGTTACAAACGTAGGGTTTGTAGTTGTCTAATGAGGTTGAATTACAAGTCAAAGTTTGTGTGATTTTTATAACTAATGGTTGATTATTTGACCTTTTTTTTGAGGCAATTTACATATACATGGGCACAAACCTTTGGAAAAATACATACTCCGAAGTATTTTGAATTTCATGAGGTAAATCACATGGATTGTAAGATGTTGTGATAGAGATTTGTCCAACTTTGGATTGTTCGTTCTCGTTCACTTGAATAATCAATGTTCATAACTGAGTTTGAGTAACATTTTCAGATACAAATTATGTGAAAATGATTTTGTTGGTTTTTATAAATAATGGTGATTATTGGGCATTATCACACATTTGGGTGCATTTAATTACTTAACAAATTTGTCACCAGTCAGATTGTTTAAGATAAGCTCTTACCTCCTTAGCTTCCACAACCGGGAGTACCCTAAAAAAAGGAACTTTTACTCAACTCTCTAATTATTTGTTTTTAGTAAACATACAAAAGTAAAAAGTGAAAAAAATCTGTTCTGTTTTTATTCAACCCCCACTTCAGCAAACACTTTCTGTAATGATGCATACATTGTCTACAGGTGCATTCATATCAAACTTAAAACAGGTACATTTTCTAAAATGCATGAGAGATCTGAACCCTTGATCTCTAGGAAAATTGGGTAATCGATTTCGTTAGGCCAATGACCATCTGGTTCTTTTCTATACGATTACATCTTAGTTTTGCGAATTATATAATGCAAAATAAATTAAAAATATAATGAATTTTGTCTTAGTTGTTACAGTAAATATGACCAATAATCATGTGCTCATTTGCATAGAAACACATCAATGAGACAAATGAAAAATTGACCCAAATGATTTAAACGAACAGTTTTAACAGCGAGAAAATGAATTTATCGTCTCTATGAACACGATGAACATCTATTACTAGCGATGGAAACCAACAAATCCCTCTCCAGATCATCTGAGCAACCTTGCTCAAAAACATCGACCATGTGGTTCATGGCGATCGAGTCGCATGGTAGAGTGATATGCCCATTACCTGGCAACCCAAACTCGTCTTCCGACATTCTTAGAAGCTCCAAGAAAACATTATTGTCAAGATAATGCAATGGCATCACAAAACGACTCTGGTCAACAGCATACACGACAAAATGACCCTTGTTTGCGACCAAATCATTTCGTTTGTTGGAACCACTTTTCCAAGCGTCCCTATGCCATTTCCTCACCAGTTTCACGATCTTGCTAACCATCATTACGAAGAGTATTGCTTTCAAGTTCTCTCAATCTATGAATACGTTAAAACAAGAGCTTTTATATATATTACTGAAAAACGACTATCGCCGAAATATATGTTAATGTGGAATTATAGTCGAGGGAATGTCTGCTATTTATAGTGAAAGGGGAGACAAACGGTCTAGTTTTGATATGTTTGAAATGTTTGCTAGCAATATCATGTGATTGGTTATGGAAAATCCGAATATCCGTCCTACCTTCAAATAGGAGGGCATCGTTTTCTAGTTTGCACGAATGATGTCGACTGAAAGCACCTTTTTCCGTTTAAAAGAAGTTTTGGGACCAATTTGGATGGTTGTAACGTTTTTAAACCTATTTTATAGACTTGTTAGATACTTAGGGGCTGTGTACCTAAATGCTTACCCGGTAAGCGCTTACCGTTAGGAGTCAACACTATAATTTATTTTCTTTGTAAGATTGTAGTATATCAAAATGGTATCATGTGCAACAATATATATGGTTATACACACACATAGATACACATGTAGTGAATGATGACATCGACAACTTACAGTAACATAAATTTTTGTTTGAAATTTCGTAGTATATAAAACAAATGTATAATATCCAGGTTTCGTTAACTCATACAAATTGGGTTAAGTAAATTTTTGGTAGAATTATGCATAACATAGTTGTACCCTATGTTATACCAACTTGTACTTCAGACGAGTTTTGCGTCAAAAATGAGTCTATATCCAATTTGACGTAAAAGTTGAGAATATAGACTTGAAGGGTCAAAACCGCCAAATAGTTAAACTATATATATATATATATATATATATATATATATATATATATATACATGTATGCATCAATGACGGTCCTCATGACCGCCATTCTCAATCTCTCGCCTCTTTTTCTCTCTCTAAAAAAATTTCGTCTTCTCTCTAAATTTCACGTCAAATTATTAAGGAGATCAAGGCAACAATTATATATTCGGAATCCACTCTCCGAACCCTTCTTAAAGGTATAAATTTTATTCAATTTTATTAAGGTGTTTATGTTAGGGTTATTTAGACCTGTTTATAAACTGTGTTTATATCTAAGTTTACGGATTGATATTGTCAAAATTATGATATATTTGATGTTTAGGATGCTAGTACTGGTTATATTGATGTAGAAATAAAAAGGGTATATTATAGTTTCAATATGGTTAGATTGTGGGTAAATGTTTAACCGTACACCAATTGTTCGGTTAAATGTCGAAAAGAGTAAAATGCATGATTAAGCTTAGGTTAACGACCATTGGACTTGTTTTACTGTTTAGTATGTTGAAGTACGTTTATAGCATGTAACTGTAGCAAATCATGAAAGTTGGATCATAAAAGTTAGTCGGGAATTACGGAATCGAATTTTACCGACAATGTAACTCCCGTATTTTGACAGTGTATAACTCACAAACCGTAAGTCAGATTAAGCTCGTATTTTGCAGTCAGGAAGATCATACTTCATACTACAACTTTCATTAAGGGTCAAAATTCCAGTTATGATTCTAAGTGGCTCGAAACAGTGTGTTTTTGAGGCTGTTTATACTGTATCCGGGATTAATTTGCAGTTTTGTAAAATTCATATAAAATAGATGGATGATCCAAATGAGATGATTTCAAAAGCAACAGACTCGTTTGACACCAATCTACAACTTTCATTTAGAAAATATAATCTGGATTGGTCTCTAACTAAGATAAAATGCTTAGAAATAAGAGAGTCGGAAACAGTTGGATCGAAAGAGAATAATGCTAAGTCTTACGTTTGAGTTTTCAATTCATATCCGGCTGTCCTTCTTGAAGTCTACGTTGTTTAAGTACATTAAGTCTTAAGTAATTTTATTAGAATAGTTATATTACGGTTTATATGCTTTGTAAATAGTAACCGATTATGCATTCGTTAGGCACGCAGACAAGTCAAACTTGATCGTGAATTTCCGTTTGATCGTCCGTTAATTGTCAAATTCGGTTAAGGTACGGATTCCATATCTCACTTGACACGGGGATAGCCATTTGCGTAAGGCTTCATAATCCGGATAATCTGTGATAAATTCCGAATAATTTGTTTTGAATTTCCTTTATGCTTATCAAATRTTATTGAACTTTGTTTCCTTTTGAACTACGACTTATATTCTTATTCAGAATATGGATCATTTTGATCACTTGACTTGTTTTATTGCTTTATTTGTGAAACATTTTACTATAAACTCAATAACTGGAGCACCGGTATTAAGATATTTCCATGGTGACTAAAACGATCATGGCGTCCTCATTTTTATAGTCCTTAAAAGTGGACTTGATTATGTACCGGTYGAATAGAGGGCGTATGGATCGATCCTAGGAACCGTTATCGGATATTGAATTATGGCTGTGGTTAAATCCACGGAGAGAATTGCTGTGTTGTGCTCACACCCCTTTCCTCACTTGTGCCTGAATGGACTGATCATCCTTTTGGGAACAATGCGTCCTTGTGATGCGGTTTGGTCTTCGGACCCTTGATATGCTTTTGGGGCATTTTGACTTTCTTTTGGATTATCACTTGGTTTTATAAATTGYTTTTGAACTTGTTATCTCATATTCATTGTTTAGTTACATTATTATCCGTTCACTGAGCATTAAGCACAGCCGAGATTTTCTTGTCCTCGGCAGGTACATGACTTAGCAGGGATTTTGGGATGAGAGCTACGGAGATGACAATATTGAAGATAACTCATTAAGTCATACTTTTGTTTAAACTTTTGATGACTATTGTAGATATACTRATATTTTGGGACCGTATTTTGAGACACGTTATCTCCGTTTGTGGTTATGTAATTATCTTTTGGTAAATTTAATTAGCCGCTCTGGTTGATATAGCACGTTGTTTGTTTATTCCAATTGTGGCATCTCCCGTCTTTGACCACGCGGGACGGGGGTGTTACAAAATGCTTCTCCCACAATCAGTAATTACTGTAAAAATGTGAAAGCAAACTTCCGTATTTGCATGTATCTTCGGCATATATGTTGACGGGACCGCATGTTTGAAATGGTTGGTATTTGGCTGTGAACTTGACCGGATATAATCACTTTAATGTCTTAATCGCTCGTTTCAACAAAATGGTCCTTAAAAGCTGTTATAATCCATTCATGTGGAGTGTGTAGAACACCAAGCAAAGTGTCCTCATACAAGAGATGCTTGGATTTGCTTATAACTGATCACATGGCATTCTTTGCGAACATTCCAAAAGTAATGTATCTACACCTCTTTCATCCTCTTTTGTATTACAAAAATGGAACATTCCTATTGTACAGTTTCACGTTAACATGTCTAAAATGTTACTGTTTTTCGTATTTTTATAGTTAGTGTTCAGTAACAGTTCTTTTCATGATGAAGTAACTGCTGATTTTATGTTCATCAGATCAATCATTAAGAAAATCAGGACAAGTCAATTTCCTTAGTGTTGTCTGGTCGTTTAAATGATTGAAATTTTTTGTTATGTAATTTTTTGAATGATTAATTTTCTTTTTGTAATATTTGAATTATCGGTTGAAGAAGTTCTACTTGTAATAAAAACATTTATGATATTACCTTTCAATTACCTTTCATCTATTTGAATTAGATTTTGCCACTTAAAACTGTTGTTTTTCCGCATTGAGTGTAACCCACCACTAGTTTGTGTAAGAATTGGTTCGGAAACATCCAGTCTAATCAAAATCTGTTTAATACGACCAGTAGAAAAACACAGACTGATCCAGTTACGACATTACGGCATTGTCCAGCCCAGTCTAAAAAATCCAATCTGGTCCACTTGGTATTGGCTTTTAGTTCGGTCCCTTTAGGAAAAGGAAGACGTGGAGAGAAAAAATATATTTATGGATTTAAAAACAAAAGGATTTATAAAAAATAGACGATATTTATCTGATATGGAATTTATTCGGTTTAAATTAATAAAGACCATTGGTCTTGATCCGTTCTGAATTGATGATGTCATGGTTCGATATCTATTTAGTCCAATCTTAATCCTTAAGTCATCTTTATCAACCCTTGAATTTTTTTGGTTTATGCGTTTTGGTGAAATTTTGGATTGGGTGCCTTAAGTGAAATAATTATAAGTAAGGTCCCTATTGTTTTGTGTTTGTTATAGATTAGGTCCCTCATATTAACAGTCTTTTAACAATCTCCATTAACTTGGATACATTTTATTTTTACGAGAATTATGAAATTTGTAATTGTTTGAAGGACCTGTTTTGCTAATTTCTAAAACTCAAGAAACTTCCTTTTCTCTCCCCCACTGCTTCTCTAGATTTCGGTGAACAAAAATTAAACACAAAAATCATACCCAAAATCGAAGAAAAACAAAAAAGATGCTATACTTGTATGTGTGAGCAAATGCATTCGAGTAAAACAAGATTCAAACCCGAAAAATCAATTGACTTCGTTTTAGTCGGCATTGACTTGATTTCTTTATTAGAAATAACAAAATTTTCACCATTATTCCCATGATTGCTGGAGTTCTGCTTTCTACAATCGACTTGGGTGGTTTTTGGTCTCTCACTATTATCTCAGGTAGGTTTTCCAATCATAACTCTGTATGTTTCCCTGCTGTTACGAGTTACCTCATTAAACTTTTAGGCCACACTTCCCAGATCCCACAACTCTTTGTACATTGGTTTCAATCTCTATATCTTGAACTCCCAAAATCACAAAAAATACTACAGACTCACTCGATCGATCGATCGAGAGAGAGAGAGAGGATAAAATATTTGGAAGAAAATTTGTAATTTGCTCTAATACTTTATGTTTTGGAGGGACCAAAACCGAGAAGCAAATATTCACGAGGGATTAAATTTGTAATTCACTCTTTTAAAAATGTATACTTATAACACGTTTTAATTAATTAAATGTCTATTTTACCCTTAGGACCTTTTTAGTTTGACAAAATGTTCTTGAGAGTTTTGTATTTCAAGGAAAAAATTTGAAATTAAAAGAATTCGGAATAATTGGAATTGAATTTCAATTCTATTCTTTATAAATAATATAGTATTACGTTATAAAAAACTTATATAAAAATACTTAAGTTACATTTTTATTAATTGATATATTATAAAATAACTTTTTTAGCATATTTTAAAAATATTACTATAAACAAATCCATAACAATGAATGATTAGGATGATATCCACGACATAAGTTCGTTCATTACATTGAAGACCGTCTTTATTTATTAACCATATCGTCTGTTACTTTTTCTTATTCATTGCAGGAACCATTCGTAATCGAAGAATAATGATAAAGATCCGTTCATCGATACTTCAATCGTAATCGACGACCAAGATTCAAGGAAATCATCATTAAAGACCGTTAGAGAATTAATGGTTTCTAAAACAACAATTACAAAACCCAAAGTATAAAAACAAATTCATTTCATTCCTTGGGACACAAATGATGATTGTTATACTTAGATTTGACCAAGTATCCATCTGAAACTTTTGAAGACGTCAAGGCCAAAACGCTTGCTCATATATGAGTAGAAGACGGCATCGTGTTTTAAAAGAAACATACTCACGACATCATGTCCAAAGAGATGTCTCGACCTTGGCATAGAACTCGAGTCTGCACACGAGAGCAAGACATCTAGCGAAAACAAGGATGAAAGACCTCGGTCTCGCCTCGACGTAAAACTCAGATTATGGCAAACTATTTGCTTATTTTTCGAGTTACATCTATCTTACTCCTAAAAAATGAAATTCATTTTGTTCTCTTGGTTTTCTTGTTGCGGTCTAGGGTGTGCCTGTTTTAAGCCCCTGTTACTGCCCTTGCGGTTTCCCTCGTTTGTTTCTCGGTCTTGGCTTGGCTTGGTTGGGCCCTTCCCTTGTGGTTGGTTTTTTCTTCCCCCCCTCTCTCTCTTCTCTCTCTCCCCTCCTCTTCTTTCTCTCTCTCTCCCCCTTCTCTTCTCTTCCTTTTTTTCCCCTCGGGGTGCCTTGGATTATTCTGGTGGATATGGTTCGACCCCACCCGAACACGAAATTTGATCTGCTTTTAGCGTTTAACGTTTTTTTCTCTTGATAGGAGGGGCCTCCCCCCTCTATATAAAAAAAAAAGTTGAAATTCAGATTTACAAACATCAATTTACAATGATCAAATTTATAAAGAGTGAGCTAAAATATGTCGATAAATACACTCCTATCTATTAATTTCCTTCTTGTATATTAAAATTTATTTTTTATATTTTTAATATATTAATTTAATCTAATTATTATATAAACTAAGATTGCACATAAAGCATAATCCTTGGCAACAAAGTGGGTTGTACATTTTAAATTTGTAGGTATTTTATTGTATATATTGATATTAAAGATAATTAATAAATTAAAGAAGAGTCGGTGATATCCATTAGAGGCTGTTTCCCATTCACGCCGCCCATTGCTTGTCTCCTTTCTACTTTTTACTCCTTTTAATGTTTTATAAATTCAATAAACTCAGTTTTACGTAACATCTTTTTTCTAATTAACATGGATATCTAACTTGTTATGTAAGCCGATTAATTTTTGGGTACTCGTTTGTTTTACAGGTAGCTCAGAGTTATCACATTTGAACTTCTATGATCACAAGAGGATTTTTATTCTCTTTTGGATTTAAATCTGAGACGATAAGACCATATTTGTTTTTTTAATTATTCGGAAAAGTAAGAAGACGTTTGTTTTTTAAGAGGTGTTGAAATTTGAAGTATGATTTCACTTCTTGTTTATAAGAGGTGGTGCTGAAGTCTGAAATCTAAATCAGTCAGACTGTTTGTTTTTACATCTGAACTCTGAAATCTGAATCAGTCAGACTGTTTGTTTTTACGTCCGAAGTCTGAAATCTGAATCAATATAAACACGAACAAAGTCTCATAACCCTTTGCTCGTTGGTTTGATCATATTCAGAAAATAATTCATATATAGGAGAAATCGATTTGCAGGGATTGATTTGGATAGATTGGTAGCTTGAGACAGAGCGAGAGATCGATATGGTGTCCAGATCGTATGATTTGGATAGATCGGTATGATTTGGTAGCTGGAGATCAAGCGAGAGAGCGAGAGATCGATATGGTGTCCTCGTGTGTGAATAAGAGCCCATTAAGGGTTTAGACTACCACTTAAAAATTCAAAAGACTATAAGAGCTTTTCAACTCTTATTTAATGATGGAATTGTTAAAATAGAGTAACCGTTGAAGTTGAATATAATTCTTTTTTATATATTTTAATATTCTATTTTAGAAAAATTATAACATACAACTGTTGAAGATATTCTTATACCATAGTTGTTATAACAAAAATATACCCTAAATCTTTATTTTAACAGACAATCATCCAAAAATTATATCCTAAATCTTTATCATAAATTATAAAGAAAACATTTATATGTTTTTTAAAATAATTTTGAACAAATTTTTGAAAGTTTCTAATTAAATCCTTCTATAATCTATGTTTTTCTATTATTATCTGAAAGGAGCTTTCAGTAGATAAAACTAATTTCAGAACGATCATCTATTTTGCGGGTAGTCCGAAGTCATCGTATTTAAATTTCCATGACCATAAAAAGAGGATTTTTTATTTGTCCTTAGATTCGAACTTGAAATTTTCAGACACTTTTGACCTTTTAAAGCCCGAACTTAAACCAATCAAAAACCATTCTCCTGACTTAAACAAGTTTATTACCGATTCCAAGAAAAATCCATGTTCACCGACATCGTTAATAAATGTATAAAATATAAGAAAAGCAAACCGTCAAAAAAGCCATACATGTTTGTATATGTATATATATATATATATATATATATACACACACACACATATATCACACCTACAAACACAATGGCGATCTTGATCTACTTTCTCTTTACCCTTTCAATAGTTACCTCCACAAATGCTTGCGATAGATGTCTGCATCAAACTAAAGCTGTTCCTTTCTCCAATGCTTCTGCTCTTTCATGTACACCGTTTTTCTACTCTTATTTTTCATAAAGATTCAATTTTGAGATCGACCATCATAATATTTCTTGATTTAATCTAATGGGTAATTATTATTTTCGAAAATAAATGTAGCTGGAGCATGTGGGTATGGTTCATCTGCTCCAAGCTTCTACAATGGCCATCTTGCTGCTGCTGTTCCTAGCATATTCAAATTCGGGTCGGGTTGTGGTGCTTGTTTCCAGGTACAAGTTTACACATTTGACCTCAGTGTTATATGTTCAGTTTGCTGTGAATCGGTGGTTATAAATGTCATTTTGCAGGTTAGATGCATGGATGGTAAGTTGTGTTCCAAGGGTGGAACTCAAGTGATAGTGACTGATTTGAATAAGAACACAGAGACAGATCTGGTGTTGAGTAGCAGAGCTTTCATGGCTATGGCTAATAAGGGTATGGAGTTAAACATGTTGAAACTTGGTGCTGCCAACGTGGAATATAAAAGGTACAGCTTTTAACTTTTATGCGGTATTTGTAAAGTAACCGTTCTATTTTTTGGGATAGAAGACATGTTTATGTTCGTAATACTCTGACCTTGCGTTACAATAAAATGGTCTTTTAAGACGTTTTTAACAGAGTAATTAACGAGACTTCAATGTTGTAAGACAATTAACTTCGTGTCCATTACGATGGTATATTGGTATTACGTTAAACCTAACAAGTTTTATCGATTAAGTTGAAGGCATTCCGGCTTTTTCAAGGTAAAAAGGGTAGAAAATGGCTCGAGCTAATGTTCGAGTATCGGACCCCAATCTAATAGGACACTACAAATAACTATTTTATATGACATGCATGAGATTGTCTTGTTTATGCTAGGAAATGAAAATGAGAAGGAATCTATTTTAACTTTGAATGAAAATTTGGACTTTAAGGAATGAACCCATTATACTAGAAGGGTATCCACGCAATGCAGTTAGATACATCTTGATTTTAATTTTTCATTTTATTATTTATCTCAATCGATGTTATAGTACGGTTTTATCTGATTTTGAAAAAACGATGATATTTTTATTTTTGAATAAAATATAAATTTGAAAATATTATAAAAAATATCATATCAAATTAACTATTTAAAATTCCTACTCTTTTATGTAATTTTTTAATTCAATTTTTTTATAACTTAATTTATGTACAATAACGAAGTAATTTATATTTGGTTTAATAATATAATTTTTTTATAAAGGTAATAATTATTTATTTTGTTAGAATTCAATAATTATCCTAAATATATTTTAGATTTTTAAATGAGATGTTTATCCTTTATTTGATTATGTTTATCCGCTAGTTAATTAGACGAATTCAAATATGAAGCTTTAATAAGTTATACTTATCCATAATTTACTTGTAATCTTGAATTTTAAGTAATATGAATCAATATACAGTACTTTATGCATAAAAAATGGGTTTTAAGAATATTTGTCAAATGTTTTATAATATAGTATAGATAAAATCAAACAGTTTTTTTTTTCCATTGGTTACTGGTTAATATTTCTAACATATAACACCCTTGTTCTTATGAATGATCATATAAAAATGCTAATAAAACGATTTATTTTTTCTGTCCTATTAAGATTGCTTAACTTCATCAACTAGAAACTTCTAGATCGATTCCTTCCTTCCTAATGTGATTATACAGCTCAAAAGTTGTTGGTTTTAAAAATTAAAATTCTATTAAGTTGTCAAAGAACATATATGCATCCTAAAAAGCTTATTTTGTTATCTTGCTTTCGAGTAAAATATACTAGATTCACTTGATTTTATGCCTATGACCTTTAACTATGTATGTAAGGGACAATTTGGTCATTTTCCATGTTTTTGATAGAAGAAGTTTTAGAATGCAAGTCCGAAGTACAAGTATTAATCGATTGTTGGTTTATTTCGTGGGTAGAGTTCCTTGTGATTACAAAGGCAAAAATCTGGCTGTGAGGGTCGAAGAATCAAGCCAGAAGCTCCGTTATCTTGCCATAAAGTTCTTGTATCAAGGTGGCCAAACCGAGATCGTAGCCGTTGATGTTGCCAAGGTGATAGAGTCTCGGCCGTTCAATAATACAAAATATAATTTAAGTGGTCGAAAACTTACATGATCCGTTGTTCTTTTTAAGGTTGGTTCGACAAACTGGAGTTTTCTGCGCAGAAAGTCTGGTGCTGTTTGGGACACGGATCGAGTTCCGGCAGGGAAGTTGCAGTTCCGGTTGCTGGTGACGGCTGGATACGATCGGAAGTCGATTTGGGCCAAGAGTGTGCTCCCGGCCGATTGGAACGCCGGAATCGTGTACGATTCCGGGGTACAAATCGAAGACGTTGCTGAAGAAGGATGTGGTCGATGTGATTAAGTAGCTTTTTGGTAGTAGTGCTTTTTAAAGATTAGGGAATAATTTGTTGTTTACTACTACTTATTTGTGTCAAGAAAATGAAATGGATGTTGTTTTACTTTGTAAATATTTTAATGAAAATATGTTTTAGTAATAATAAATAAACCGGTGACGGATCTAAAAAACGTCTTTGGTTGAGGGCATGGTTTGGGGTGTCAAAGAAATTCGTATAAATTTTCAATCTTTCGAGTGAAATTCTCAAATATTCAGATTCATTCCATTTTCCGTCTTGCGTCATGCATCTACACACAAAAGGTAATGGCCTAAAGCCAATCGAGGACGAATGGGAGCGTTGTGATTGGATGAAATGATTGGGTCCGAATTTATGGTTTATTGGAAGCCAAAGAGGATGAACTGAAGCACCTCAAAATTGTTTCTCAGCTAACGTCTGAGCTCAAGGTTCGGGTATTCAAATAAGTAGTTTAGGGTTTTGCTTGTAACCGTGATCTGGTTCTACTCCATACCTCCCGATTAGGTTTCTAAGTCACATATTATTTGTACAATGGATTAAATTCAACAGATTTATGTTTCTATTTCGATCTTAATGTATCGATTTTTTTTGTATGAAGTTTCAGGTAATGTTCTCGACATTTTTTTATCTGAGTTTGATGATGTTTTTGGATCTAAAATTGATAATTATTATTCTTGATGTTTTTAAATCGAAGATCGATAGCTGTTGCTTTTAATGTTCGCATAACGGGTTCGATATCACAGTAATCAATAAAACATACATCCAAAACACCACCAAAATGATGATGAATAGGTTTTTCTTGAAAAAGCATAAAACTTTTGCACGAGAATATTAAACTTTAGGGTATATTACATTACCAAAAAGACAAAAAACACTTTGTGGTCCTTGAATTTCACTGGCACATGTTATAATTTCCACGTCAGCATGAATTGATTGGTATCTATTTCTTTCTTTCTTTTTTAGAAAATTCAAAATTAATTTGCAATGAAAAAATATACGAGTAGTGAGAGAAATGGTATCATAGTTTATAATTGTTCAAATAATCTAGAGCATCTCTAAGAGCTTGGATCCAAAGATCAAAAATATCAATAGATTCCAGGTTTAAATCTAAGGAGGAATAAAAATCCCCTTGTGGTCATGGAGATTCAAATGCGGTGACTACGGACTAACTGCAAAGCAGGTGGTCGTGCTGAGATTAGTCGGCTCGTATAGTGAGTTGGATATCCAGGTTAATAAAAAAAAAGTAATCTAGAGCATCTCCAACACCTCTGTTATTTAAAAAATTATGTAGATTTGGAAAATATGTTTTAATAGTTATGCTAAACTCTCTTTTAAAAATAACGAAAAAAATGAGTGGTGGAAAAGAGAAATCTTCAAATTTGGAAGAAAATAAAGAAAAAATATAGCATACATGTTGGAGAAGCTCTTAGAAACTCAATGAGTTGTACAAACTGGTTTTCATTTGTTATTCTGCATAGAAACAACACGTGTGAAAATGTGATGTTTGTTTCATACATGAAACGTTTACGGTTGTTTTCTATATGAAAATAACGACCATTTATAAACATCGTACTTTCACACGTATTGTTTCATAACATGAAACAAGTTAATAAGTTTATACGAATTATTCGACTTGTAAACAACGAGACCTTGTATAAAGACATATGTGCATTGCATCTACGTACAATCGATGATATTATCGTAAATTTCGCAACAACATTCGGGATCGATATTTTCATAAAACATGGGCCCCACATAAGAGAAGAAAAGAAATCCACAAAAATCCCACTTCATTCCAAGTCACCTCACAAATTCCACAAAGACTTCGAAGTCAATTGTACCCCTTTTTTCACTTTGTATTTATTCAAGTAAGAACGATGGATATCCTATTCGCAGATAAAGTTCCTCCATGGATATCGAACAGGTAGAGAAGGAGACTCGGCTCGAGCTCCAATTACCCGGCTTCCGATTTCACCCAACCGAAGAAGAACTGCTCGATTTTTATCTCAAGAAGATGGTTTTGGGGAAGAATACGTGTTTTCAAATCATAGGCGTTCTCAACATCTATCTTTACGATCCTTGGATTTTGCCAGGTATCTCGAAGCTTAACTTTTGCAAGATTTTACTGTAAACCGAATTTATGAATTTTTTTTTGGATATTTTAATTATAGAATTGTCGAAGGTTGGGGAAAGAGAATGGTATTTCTTTGTGCCTAGAAATAGAAAGCATGGGAGTGGAGGGAGACCGAACCGAACCACAAAAAACGGGTTTTGGAAGGCAACGGGGTCGGATCGTAAAATATTCTCTTTATACGACACCAAAAAGCATCTTGGGTTGAAGAAGACTTTGGTGTTCTACAAGGGCCGGGCACCGGGAGGGAGTAAAACGGATTGGGTCATGAGTGAGTATCGGCTACCTGATTCTTTCCCATTACCAAAGGTACGAGCTTGATCCATTTTAACATACATGGTTTGAAATTGATACAAACCAAACCAAACAAGCTTAGTATATCTCACCCAGAGGTAAGGTTTTAACATACTGTTGTCTAGAGAAACAGAGATGTTATTTTCAAAAAGACCCCTTGACTTACGAAAATTTAAAATCGACCCCTATATAATGTAAGTTGGAATCATGTTGAGAACAGTAATAACACGGACATTCATATACCTTCTGACCTTCAGTTTCTGTCACAATTCCGTCGTAATTGAAAAGAAATTATATTTCTAAAGGGTGCCACCACATCGTTTCGTTGGATGCTCGTATATTTTTTGAAACTAAACTAATGGCACGACTTTTGTAATGAAAAAGATCGTTAACGTTGTTGCTCTTGTACAAGGTTGCTTTTTGTTAAAGCAAGGAAGCAACCAACGTATCTCTAACAATTTTATGAAAAAATTTCGTACGGGTTTTTTTCTTCTTATAGTCAAACGGTGTCACCATTTAAAAAAAATGTTCTAATTATGTCTCTGCTTTTAACATGCATGAATTTGTTAAAATTTATAATATAATCTATACTATATTATAAAGCATTTGACAAAAACTCTTAAAAACCATTTTTTATGCATAAAATATTGTATATTGATGCATGTTGCTTAAAATTCAAGATTACAAGTAAATTATGCATAAGTACATGTTTGAATTCATGTAACTAACTGCAGATAAACATAATGAAGTAGAGTATAAATATCTCATTTTAAAATATAGAAAATTTAAAATATAATTAAGATAATTATCAAGTTCTAACAAAATAATTAATTATTATATTTATAAAAAAAATTATATTATTAAACCAAATATAAATTACTTCGTTATTAAAACTAAATTAATAATATAATAAAAAAATTGAATTAAAAAATTACACAAAATATGAGGAATTTTGAAAAGTTAATTTGATACTAATATCAATATATTTTTGTTAAATTTTTATGATATACTCAAATTTATATTTTATTCAAAATTAAAAACATCATCGTTTTTTCAAAATCACATAAGACTATATTATAACATTGACTGAGATAAAGAATAAAATAAAATATTAAAATTAAGATGTATCTCACAGTATTGCACGAGTACCCTTCTAGTAATAGAAAGAGGTATAGAGAGGGTAAATGAATGTATTATAAATATTGTAGTGAATTTTGATTGGTGATTGATAGCAGGACATAGTGTTGTGCAAAATATACAGAAAGGCAACTTCCATGAAAATATTGGAGCAAAGGGCAGCCATGGAAGAAGAAGCGCATCCTCCGCCATCTCCAAGCTCCACCACTAGTCAACGCCTTGACTTATTTGCACTACCACCAGCACCATTGGAACCAACCCATCTGCCATCCACCGACGACGACTTCTTCTTGGAGGAAAACACCGATCGGAAACTGATGCTAAAACTGCCGGAAGGGGCAGATAACTTATCGGAGCTCCGGTTGCCGAGAAGTAACACAGACTGGAACCCAGATTCACAGTTACGTAGCCCATGGCTACACAATCTCATCTTCACCCCTCCTCCCTATGCCAATATACTTAATTTCTTCGATTGATATCTATGTTTTACGGTTTTAACATCTGTTTGTGACGATATTTATATATAGTTTCAGAATTAGAATGTTCAAAACCGAATAATGGGATCAGGGTCGGTTCTAAGATTTTTGATGCCCTGTGCGAAAATAATAAAAAAATTGCCCCTAAGCCTATTTTTTTAAGCCAATCAAACAACGAAATATGCGATTTTTTAAAGAGTTTAGAACCTATTCAAGCTAAGTATCTCATCCTCATGTTGATTTTTATTAATTATAATTAAAAAAAATACAATGGGAGGGACATAAAAAACCAAAACCCCGAGTATAAAATATAAAAGGATAAATCATGGATTAAGATCATGCTTCCTTCTTTTCCAGGTTTCCCTTTTTCAAATTGAAATTAGCAAAATAGAAACTTTATTTCAATATATGGGATTTAAAAAACAAGGAAAACTATAATTAGTTTTTAACTAAAATAGTAAATTACATCCGAATTATTATTATAGTAAGCAAAAAGTAAAACTAAAAGGTTACAGGTCTAACGACTAAAGGCTAAGGGTCTATCTGTTAGCAACTTAATAAATTTGAAGGAACTAACAACTTATTCGCTCAACTATGTATGACTGTTTCGTAGTGGCTTAATGATATAGAAAATGACTTGTCCAGTAAGTTTCTAAGGGGAGCTTTATATAGAAAGCCAATTTTTTTTTTCAAACATGTCCCTTCCAACTAAAAAAACGCTCCTTGCATCTACAAAAAGACTCTCCCAAACAAAAAAATTTCCAACTTATACAAACAGATTAATTTATACAGACAACTTTATACAAACAAAAACTTTTCCAACTTTCCAACTTTTTCCTACGATGTGCATTCAATATTCATCACTACTAGGCTTTGGGTCTGTTTTTATAGTTAAAGTTCAGTTGTCCAATTCTCAAATTATTAAACTCAGAACTAGTAATAAGTGACAACTTGATGCCCCTTTAGGCTTTGATGCCCTGTGCGGCCGCACAACGTGCACGTGGCCAGGGCCGGCCCTGAATGGGATGAGCTTATGCTAAATTGCTGGATATAAGTTGATGTTTTCGTAAGTTAACGATAATAATGGCTCTGGGACTAGATGAGTAGCAAGATAGGTATTTACACGAGATCGATGCTAATGGACGGTTTTGAAAGCGAAAAATGGAAGTAAAAATGGAACGGTATTCTATTATCTACTGTATCGATGTTAAAACATAACAGAAAGAAAAAACAAACTACGCCCACTTACAAAATTGAGGCCTTCTGAAGGCCATTTAGTTTCAATGGAACTGCGAGTCCTATTTCACAGTGTTGTGCACTCACAGTCACGGACGTCCCTTGGTGCACCCACGGACCTCCCCTGGTGCGCCTTCCAGTTGTTGTGTTGTGGCTTCTGGAGACCTTGGTTCAATTTATACACCGCTGCATGTAGAAACCTGAATCAATACTGTTAAAACGAATAAAACTTGTAGAAAAAATGGAACAGACATGGAAACTCGAGAAATGAAAGCTACCCGATTCAAGATTTAACGCTTGAACATCAAGCGGAAGGGATTCACAAGGATCGACGGAAGAATGAACCTGGGAGCCGTGTGTCATGTCCAATTTACACAAACCGGATGCCAGATGCATTTGACCCAACCAGATGGACTCGAGCTTGTTTAGATGGTCCAGTTGAACCTTGACGAACTAATTTTACTCATTTCTATTCATGGTTCTTCATGAAACACTCTCTTGCTCTCGAGAAACCTTATCTTCTTCTATCCGCAGCAAAAGCTCCTCACAAGCTTTCAACGATGCAGCCGTAAATCTTTCCATCGCTTCAAAAAGAAGTCGTAGATTGGTTTGAGCGCTAACGCTTTTACTAGTCTCGCTCTGATACACAGCCGAGAGACCATTATCTTCTCCGGAAGGAAGAACTATACGTTTATCCAGCACCTGCAACTCTTTATGAATCTTTTGATCCTCTTTCTCCAAATCCTTAACTTTTCTCTCCATGTTCTTATGCATCACCAACCTCCTCCGCATTTCCATCTTATCCCGTTCCCATAACTGAAGAACGATTTTCACAAAATCTCGCATTGATTCCACCACTTCCTTATCGGAGATTCGGTCTATGGCTTGAGCCCACTGGTTACAGATTATGAACACGGTTGGTGCACCAATTCGGCTGGGAGAGAAGGGAACAGGTCCATCGGCGGTCTCTTCAGGGATGTACAAAAGACATTTTAGAAGCCAATTGTTCAATGATGTCACGAAACCCTTTTGTGCTCCAAACCAACACGAGAATCGGAGAGTCCAGTTAAGAAGTTCGTGTTCGAGTTGTAATGTGGCTTCAAGACTGTCGTCACTGAAGTGTTTGTGAGAAGCAATGGCATCTAACCGTTTAGCAGCTCCAATGGCTCGACATTGACTACGATGGCACTCGAGCATCGATTTCCACATCCTTGTTAACCTGGAGACGAATTACCCACAAATCAAATCGGAGTTTTTTCACCCAAAAAATACAGGTTTTATGAACCTCTATCCAAAAAAAGAAATTCTAAAACCCCCATTGCAAGCTAAAGAATCTAGAATATCCACCATAACAGAATCGGCTTTCTAGGATGTCTACATGTCTTAATAGAGCACTTTATATGTCTTTAAGTTTATAGAATCAAACAATTATGCATCTTATGTACATATGTTACAGTAAGTTGATAGGACGTTTTCGGGAGTCCTAGCAAGTTCTTTAAGACACTTTTGATTAGATTTTCTATAGGACACTTTTGAGAAATGTCCTATCAATACTTTTTTACAAAACACTTGTTTCTATAAGAGATTTTTTCGAATAATGTCATGTAAAAAAAACTAATAGAACCGTTTATTTCAAAGCATACTTAAAAACTTGTTAGAACGCCCAAAAGGGTCCTATCAACTTATTGCAACACCTTTACATAAGACGCGTAATTGCTAGGTCCTATAAACTTAAGATCTATTAAGCAGTCTGTTAGGACATCTAGACATATTTGGCGTCCCATAAAGCCGATTTTGTTGTAGTCATCAAAATTTGATCAAACCCATCTCAAGATTCATCTGAATGTAGAGATAAAATCACCAAGCACATAGTCAAGGATTTTAGAATGAACAAAAAGTGCAAGAAAAAACTAAACATACCCTTGAATGAAGTGATTTAGCTGCGGCCACAACTCTTCGTCTCGCAATTTGTTTATTTGCACAGAGATCTTATCGACAACCTGAATTGCAATTCTAATTTTGGTCGAGAGACTTCTAACTAAAGTTCTTGTTGCATCAACTTTATGTGGTTCGGCACCCTTCTCATCCAAGCGTTTCAGTCTTCTGTTCTTCTCTTCATGGAGTAATCTCATTTTCTCCTCGATCTATGTCATACATAAGCATATACATGCATGTTATTTCCTATATATATTATCTTCCATCGTTAAAATAATAACAAGTAAATAAAACAAGTCTCGAAACACAATTTATATTTCCATGCAACCAAACGAAGTAGTTTTTTGCTAACATTCTGCCCAAGAAACGGTATAATACCACCTTCTAGAGCTCCACTCCATACTGTTCCCACAGCCATCTCGGGAAGGTTAATCGTGTGTCCCATGGGTAGGTGGGTAGTACCTGGAGTCGAACCATAAACCTCCCACTCGTTCTATAAGGATGCCCACCTACTTTACCCGCTAGGCTAAAAGCTGTTGTGCTAACATTTTATACATGAGCACAAAAAAGCAAATATAAGGGTGTGTTTGGTACGTAGCCGAGACCTGAGAGAACCGGATTGGACGGGCGAGAATGAGGTACGCAAGTGAATGAACTGTGAAATGTTTTAGAGTTTTAATTTGACATGGCTATTTTAGTAAATTACCAATCTTGTCCCATCTCCTAGGTTTTTGTTCCACTTATTTGGTGGGACAAAGAAAATGTATTTTTATCCCATTCTAATGTCGTACTAAACATGGGACAAGTTTTTGTACTGTCAAGTCCCATCCTGTCCCGTTTCACATATTAAAGGTGAGTGAAAAGATTGTGGAAAGTTTAGGGTTTTCATTTGACATGGGTAGTTTAGTAACTTATCACTCAACCCCGTCCTATCTAAGTCTAATGTAGTGCCAAAAGTGGGACAAGCTTCTATTTTGTTTTGTCTTGCCTCATCCTGTTCAACGTACCAAACGGAGTAAAGAACAAGAATCAAGATGCCAGATTGCTGCAACGCTATAAAAGACATTATGATTACAGTCGCTCAATTTCAAGTAAACAGGCAAGAACAAAGGAAACTAAATGAAAAAGGATTCAAGAAGCGCATCCATGAAAGAAGAGAGCTAAACATACCTTAACTTCCTCAAACAATTTCTTCTCCCATAGATAGAGCTTATGCAAGGTAGACGAAAGATTGTTAGACCTCATCCTTAAATCTACGTTGGTATCTAAGGCAGCAGGATTGCCCATTTCGGTAGCAGAGCTTTTAGAAGCTGCTACCGCTAAGGATGGTGTAAACGCATTCAACATCTTTGAAGGAACTGATTCATATATGAATAAAAGTCAGCGGCTTTCAGCAATATGAACTGATTCATAGATATTCATAGTAAACAAACAACCAATTTTACAATGTGATTGTGTAAAAATCAAACCTTGATAAGCAGCATGTTTTCGGTTATGTGGAACCTTTCCAACTTCAAGAATCTTTGCTAGCTCGTTTCCGGATTCTGATGCACGATCGAATTGGATTTGAATTTCTCTCACAACTTCTGAATCATTCTGAAAGTCAGCAAGAGGTTTTTCCCCTCTAGATGTCTCTTCTTTGTCCACCACATGAACATCAAATTCCACTGGTTCATCTTCAGGAACACTTGGTCCACTTCTATAATGCAGCTCAGCCACAGAGCTTTTCTCACTATCCTCATCAACCACTGCCGCCTTCTTTGAACCAACATTACCACCACCACCGCCACCACCGCCACCACCACCACCATCAACAAACTTCTCATTTGAAGAATGTATTTCTTTAACAACTTCACCCTGGAAGGAATCTTCATCTTCCAAATCAGGAATACCCTCTTCTTCCCTCACTTCTCTTGAATCAAGACTTGGTGTATAAGGAGTAGAATAATAGTTATCAACCGTCTGAAATGGATTCAAAAAGTCCCACGTCGAGCTTGGTGGCGGTGGAGGCGGAGGAGGAGAAGGGGGTTTCGAATAAGAAGATGATGCTTCTGTTTGTAACATCGGCGGAGGCGATGAGACACCGCCGTACGGTGGTTGTCGAGAAGAAGAGCCGAAAAACTCACCGTAGTTAGAGTAATTGTTGTTATACGAGTAAGAATTAAGGTTTTGATAATTAGAATTGTTGTTATAATATGATGATGATGAAGAAGCTTCACCGTAACGTATAGCCTCCGGACTCATTGGCCGTTGCTGGTACACGACGGACGGAGTCGGTTGCTTTCTCATAAAATTCATCGTGTAACGACCAGGAGGATAACCTGACGGAGCATAACCCGTTGGAGGATATCCTGACGGAGGATAATCTGCCGGCGGATAACCAGATGGAGGATAACCAGCAGGGGGATAACCTGACGAAGGATAACCGGCAGACGGAAGATAGCCGGAAGGTGGGTAACCTGACGGAGGATAACCGGACGGTGGATAATCTGGCGGAGGGTAACCGGACGGTGGATAATCTGGCGGAGGATAACCAGCAGGGGGATAAGAAGAACCTGCAGTTTCGTGGTGATCAGAGTAGGGTAAATTTCCGTACGGTCGGTGTTGATGCAATGGTGATGAACCGTCATTTACAGAGTGTAAATGAATAGAACCATCATCGTCGCCGGAATCTTCATCGGAATCAGAGTGAAAATGAAGGTGAGATGAACCGGAATTCGAATGCGAATGATCATGAACAACCGCAGTAGCTGGAGTCTTTGAAGAATCTCCCTTCCGTTGAGGAGGAAGGTTGAGCACCGGAGACGGAGGGCTACTCCCACCCTGCACGGCGGCGGAGTGGATATTGAAGAAACGATGAAGCGAAACACCGACGTTCTTGAGCGAGTGAAAATAAGCTAAATGAGCTTCGGCCAGGACATATCGCTGGTGGATCGCTTCGTCGAGGAAGGTGCATCTCTGCCTACACAGCGCCACCGCCGGCGACTCCTCCGCCTTGGAACCCACACAACCCATACACCCTATTTATTGATAAAAATCCAATCTTTTCACCAAATTGAATCGGAGAAAAGGATGGATTTCAAAGGGGGTAGATTGGAATTAAGAAAAACTCGGTGGGGATTGAAAATTTAGGGATTTCAAGAGAAAGGGGGAAAGGGGGCCGGTGGAGGAATCTTTGACAGCGGGGAATATCTCGTCGGTTTGTAGAAGTAGCGGACACAGAGAGAGAATGCATCGTCGGTGTGTTGTGTGTGAGAGAGAAATCAGTGTACTTTTGGAGACTGAAAGTGTGTGTATGGCGACGCTGGTACAACTTTATTTGCACCCATGGCCCCTGTATTATACTATATTGGCAATTTTAGTCCCTTAAATACAATACCTTACAAAAATAAAGCTACCTTGCCACTATTTCTTTATTGGAAGTAGAGATGGCCAAATGGGCCCGGCCCGGCCCGGGACCGCCGGAGGACCGGGACCGGGACCGACGAAGGACCGGCCCGGGACCGGGACCGGTAAGGACCGGTTATGGGACCGAAAACCGGGACCGGTTAAGGTTTTTGGTAGTTTTGTGGGACCGGGACCGGTTATGGGACCGACTATGGACCGGCCCGGCCCGGCCCGAAAATTCAAATAATATTATAAATAAATGTATTTTTAAATAATTTTATAATGTATTTTTATAAGAAAACGTAATTTTAATTATATTATAACGCATTTTTAAAGTGTATTTGAGTGACCCAATTGTAAATTTTATAATGTATTAAAAATATATATCATTAAAAAAATCAAAAAAAAAATCTTATTTTTTTAATGAAGGACCGGTTGGGACCGGTTGGGACCGGGACCGGGACCGGCGGCCCATAACCGGTTATAGAGTACCTATACCGGTCCTATTATTTTCGACCGGGACCGGGACCGAGACCGGGACCGGTTACGCCGGGACCGGTTATCGCCGGTTATGAGAAATGTAAGGACCGATTGGGACCGGCCCGGGACCGGTTTTTGGCCATCTCTAATTGGAAGCAAGTTGTTGTTGTTATAAACTATACAAAATCCAATGTTTTGGAAAAAAATTACTATTTTTGGCAAAAAAAGTAATTCCTTCAAATTTCTCATTTTGCTTTTGTAACTTCTTTTCATATAAAATTGCTTTAAAAAGATTATCAAGTCAAATAATTAAATAAGACGGTATTTGATCGATCGGTGTTGATATGATTTAGGTACGATTGTTAATATTCTGGATTCGAGTATTATGTAAAACGTGTACCGTTTCATGTGTGAGTGTTTCTTGACCAAGAGACATAAAATTACCTTGATAAGAACAATTTGGTTAAATTGAACATTTGTGTATGAATCGATGTTGCAAGAGTTTGTTACCAATTGCAATCAAGATGGTTCCAAAAAGTGATTGTTTGTTGCAAGACAGTTATGAGGGTATGTGCAACAGTGTTCAGATGGTTGGGATCGAGCTCTATGAACTTAAACTCGATCATTGATGTTCTCTCTTGAACATCATTCGATGTGTCTCTTTATGGACAACTATGTATGTGATTAGTAGATATCGTAACAGCATATTGTTGTTCTCAGATCAAGCCCCTCCACAAACTAGATGTAGCTTTCAGTATCCAAATTCCAGTCGTACCAGTATTTGAAGTATAGTGCAAAAGATTTCAATTTTGTCTTTGATAGAATGATGATGTAATGCGAGTGGTTGCCATAAACAATTCAAGTGGAATCTTTAGGTTTCGGATGGATGTAATTAGTTGCATATTTGTAATGGGGTTTAAGTGCCATCTCTGTGGTGTGGATTCCGTGTGAGGATCATTGGCATGTATTTAATGTGAAAGTTCATGGTTTTCTTTCTCTCTCTGTCTTGTCGATATCCTCAGTGGCGTGGTTTTTGGTTTCCGCATCTTGTTAAAACGACGTCTCTTATTTTGTTTTATGATTTTTGTTTTGTTTAATAAAACACGTGGCCTTTAAAAAAATTGCAATTAAGATGAGAGGTAATTTTATCTTTGAAATTGTAGAGCTTTTAAAAAGGATATAAAAATATAACAATTATATATCAGTAAATTTGAATTTTTTTTTAAAAAAAGAAAGTAATATTTTTAAAATAATCCCCACACACACATATATATAGAGAGTCGGGTTAGATTACAAATTGTTTGATTCATGAAAATTATGCAAACCACTCTCGATCAGTAAGAAATTTTCATTTTTTATTCTTTAATTTTAATAAGTAAGGGTATAATTGTCATTTTACTGTATAATGGTTAATATTGGAAATGATTTAATTATGTTAATATATGAAAACGTAAATATAGAAACCGTTTATATGGAATGTGTAAATCAATTATTTTTAAATATAATATTGAAAATGATTTAATTATTTTAAAATATAGAAATGTAAATATAGAAACCGTTTATATAGAATGTGTAAATCAATTGCTTCAAAAAAATATAAAACAGTGAAACGGAGAAATAGTTGCATACAACGAAGATGACAGATTAATACAATTTCATAATGTGAAACAAATTCATACAGTCAATAGATTCACACATGTGAATAAATACTGTGAAACCGATTCATACAATGAAGAAGTACATGTTCATCTAGTTAAGAAATACAAATTAATATAGTTATGAAATAATGTTTCTCATACAGTGAAATAGTTGCATACAGTGATGAAATACAGTTTCATACAGTGTTATTCAGTTAAATAGTTGTATACAGTGAAGAAGACAGTGGTGAAAAACGGTTTCATACAGTGAAACAGATTCATATCGGTGATTTGCCCATTTTGCCCTTTTTTAATGGGAAAAGTCTAAAAAAACCCAATGGACTTTAATGTTTGGAATGATTAAGTCATTGGACAATTTTTTGGAACAAAAAAGTCATTGGACATTCCAAAACATGTTAAATAATTCCTTGGACAATTTCTTGGAACAAATAAGTCATTGGACAATTTAAAACATGTTAAATAACTCATTGGACAATTCTTGGAACAAATAAATCCTTGGACAATCCAAACATGTTACATAACTCCTTGGACTTTTCTAAAACTTGTTTGATACATTCTTATAACTTGTACAACTAGTTAAAGATGTAAAATAGTGAAAAAAAAGTCCGAAAAAACCCCCCAATAAACATTCATATTTTGAACGATTAAGTCTTAAATATTTTTTGAACCAAAAAGTATTTAGATCTATAAAATTAAACAAATATAACAAAAAAGTACTTACATTTACA